ATGATGATAGTAGCTTACAGTATTGTATAGGCAATAATGACTTAAGTTTATGAAGTAATCCTTCATGCCAAACCTTATCGAAGGCTTGTGATACATCTAAGAAGACAGCACAACACACTTTCTCTCTTGCATCGCCGATTCAATGGCATTTACGACTACATGTATTTGGTCGATGGTTGAGTGGTTTTTTCTGAAGCCAAATTGATTATCAGGAATTAAGCGTCTTCTCTCTATTATTGATAATAAACGCGCTAGTAGTAGTTTTTCAAAAAGCTTCGATAAGGTTGGCAATAGAGATATTGGCCTATATGAGGATACGTCATTGGGAGACTTCCCCGGTTTGGGTATCATAATTACCTCAGCGAATTTCCAAAAAATGGGTACATGTTTCAAACGGAGACACGAATTAATTAAATCGCATAGGTAGATGATGCAGTTATTGGGTAAGTTTCGCAAAATTTCAGCCGTTATCAAGTCAAAACCATGAGATTTTTTGACTTTCATTTTTAAACTTTGTTTACTCACTTCTTCCGTAGTGACTGGAACAATTGCAGTGTCGCCTTCGGGCCAATTTGTACTTGACCCAATAACATCTTGGCCTTCATTTGGACTGAAGGTTTTCTCTAGGTGTTCAGCAAATAGGTTCGCCTTTTGAGTATTTGTTTTAGCCCAGTGAGTTTCGTTTATTTTTACTGGGGCAGACTGCTGCATTGGTCTGTTAAATGATTTAGCAGCTTTCCACAGAGAGTATACATTATTTTTGTCTGCCGTGAGGCCCATCAGAAAACTATTAAAGGTATTATTTTTGTATGATTTGATGGCTGTGCGTTACTTTTTAGTTGCTCGGTTTAGTTGCGATTTAATTAACGGACATCTAGTTGCTTGCCAACGTTTTCGCAATTTTCGCTTCTCCGTAATCTTTTTTGTGATGAAGGGTGGGTATTTTTTACCATGTAGAGCTTGGAGTTTTTGTGTTGGTGTACTGTTCCACGCTCCATCTGCAATTGCTGAGTGGAATGAAGTACTGCGTCATCTAGTTGCTCGCTGTTAATAATATGATCAAACTTGTCCAAATGTACAAGCTGAAGCTGAAAATATTTCCAGTCGGTAAATTTATTTGCTAACTGGAGTGTGTTCTGGTTTATTGATGGATTTTGTGAAACTATCAGCAGCACTGGTGAGTGTTCAGAGCTAAATTCGAAGCCGCCTGAGATGGTTATGTGAGATGCTGGAACGTTTCTGTACACAAAGAAATCGATTAGGTCTGGAACTTTGCTAGTATCCGACGGTCAGTACGTTGGTTTACCAGATGAAATTGAACTGCAAGCTGCGAGTTGCCTGGCTTTGTACATTTCTCTTCCTTTCGTTTCAGTAAGTCTTGAGTTCGAAAACGTATTTTTTTGCGTTGAAGTCTCCTCCAATTATGTAGCGGCTTTGAAACCGGTTAAAAAGAGATAAGTAGCTCGCGCACTTCAACTGATGTCTGGGAAGATTATATAATGCAGTTACGACCAGCGGCTGATTAAAGGTTTCCACGGAAACAGAAGTAGCTTGAAATTCAATTGTGCTATATTGTTCTAGTAAGTGATGTTTTATCGAGTTTCTAATTATGACATAGCTGCTACCCTTAGCGCAATTATCGGGATGTATAGTATGGCATTGTAGCGTATATGCATGGAAGATATACTTTGTTATGAACAGCAACTTGGAATGTGCTTAGCTAGCATATTTATGTCGCTTATCGCCCAAGCTACAATATCGCTTGCGCAACAAAGTTATGTTATTAGATACATACCCATGCATGCATGCTACTCCATAAACAACAATATTTTAATGCTTACGCATGCATATGTGCGGTTGTGCACAATACATTTTAAGGTAGTCTTAAGATTGTAATTTTACAGTACTAAAATAAAGATCAAACAATAAACTTGGTATTCCATTATTTTTCGCGAGCATAACATGGCGATCCTGCCAGCCTGTGTCTTTACTAAAATAAAAATTTATAAAATTGAATATTGAAAATTAAATTATTTATTTTAAATAAAAATATATATGTGCGTTCTTATTATATACAAATATAATTTGAAAATAGTACGCAAATGTATATAAGCAAAAACTTAAGTGCGGAAATATTTCTATGTGCAAATAGAATACAGAGGTGACAACACAAAAAGTTATAAAAGAAAAAAAAACTATTAAATTAATTATTTTAAAAAAAAAAATTTAATCTATTTAAAATCGATTTAAAAAAAAAAACTATTTGAAACTAATAACACGGAAAAGTAAACATTAAAGTTAATATGTTACCTTAACTAATATTGTAAAAAAAAAAAATAGTGTAATTTTTAACGATTTAATTTTACATAATAAAAACAATGAAGCAAAACGGAATATAGTGTGATTTTCAACAATTTAATGTGTATTTAATTTTGTATAATAAAAACAATAAATATATATATGATTTCGTTCTAATATATAAATACAGCAAGTAAAATTGTTAATAAAAACTTTCATAGCAAAAGTAACAAAACTCCAACAAAATATGCGAACATAAAAAGTCAAGTACGGCTTTGGATCAGTTGGTTAAGGTGCGCTGATTCTGAGCTTCACATTTACCAGGACCCGAGTTCGATTCCTGGTACTTGCAGTCTCAAAAATAATTATTTACGAATAATAAAATATAAGAATTATTCCCAAGACCACTGATGAAGGGTATTTGGCAATACTCGAAACAGCTGTATGGTCAGCCAAAAATTCAATTAATTAAAATAATTTAAAAAATAAATTTTTGTTGTTGTTTCACTTCTGTTCGAAAACCTCTTTATATAAATATATATATAAAAATAAATAAAATATTAAAATATTTTTATACCAAAATTTGTTGAAAAAATAACCATGAAAACAGAATTTTCCAATAATAACATGGTGCTCGACTTATAGTACAATATAAAAAAAAAAATTATCCTTTTATGAAGTCGTGCGAAAATACATCGATTATTTTTATCCTGATGATGTATCGATTTTATATGGTACAAGTGCAGTCGCGATTAATAACAATACAAAGCAAGCAATGTGAAATATATACAAAACTCATTACGATCATTACGTTCAGCATGAAAACACAGGAAAGCATAAAAAACACCGCAGACTGAAGCTTGATAAAAAGGAGCGTGTTAAAGTTAAAGAATAAAATTTACGTTGAGTGCGGAATACATGGGCAATAAAGCAGTGCCGCAGTGATCAGAAGATGGTGGTGCAAAAATAATAGGTATGAGATGTAACCTATATTATATTATATATATTACATAAAAATATTATATATGTTATAAAAAATAATTAGAAAAAAAAACAAAATAAAACAAATATGAATTAAAAAATAATTATATTTTGCAGTAATTTGCTAAAAAATTAATTTCATTTTTTTTAAATAAATTTATTCTATATTTATATTAATATATATTGTAAAAATTGTAATTTCTTTGAATAACTTGCATTTAAAAAAAAAAAAATGTGTGGCACCAAGGCCAAATTTGATAGGCCACAGGCCAATGTAATAAATGAAGTTGATATAACGGAAGTTCAACAAAATATTACCATGTATCTTGTAATAATTATTATAATTATGTTATTAAATTTGTTCATTAAATTATATCTGATGCACAGAAGAACAATAAAGAAAAAATATATGAGATCTGTTGCTCAAAATTTGGATAAAATTTAAAAAAAAAAAAAACAAAATCTAAAAACACAAATTTTAAAATACATGTATACCAACTGACATAAATGGACAAATGGACTGTCATTGAAAAGCAATTAAAACAAGAAGGAGACAATTTTAGTAGATCATTTAAATGTGTTTATAGAAATACTACAGTTAAAATAGAAACTGTAAAAAAGCATTTAATTATCTTGGTAGACAGTTTAGAAAAAGTTAGAACAATTGTCAGGGTATACAATACAAAATTGACAAAAGATCATGACAACTTTGCAAGGTCAGTATATTGGGAGCTTAGGGATAAACTACTAAAAGTTCACTCTAAATATAATATAGAAGAGGATATCCCACACTGTTTAGACAACCCGATACGAATTGATATCAACAAATTATTCGTAGCGGAGTTATCAGAGTTAAAAGAATTAGTTGTTTTGCCTCCTATATCTGAAAATATTACCGATACAGTCATGTCGCAGACTATGATTGAGTTTTTAAATACAGCAGCCAGACTCATACCTGAGTTTGATGGCAAAGCTGAAAATCTCAGAACTTTCATAGATGCATTGCGACTAGTTCAGTCATTAATGGCTTCACATGAGGCAACAGCCGCTAACTTGATTAAAACCAAGTTGAAGGGTACTGCCAGAAACTTAATTACTAATGAACTGACTGTAGAAGCGATAAGACAGAAGCTTCAATCATCCGTAAAGAGTGAATCAACGGAAGTAATAAACGCGAAGATGATGAATGTAAGGCAGAACAGCAAGTCAGCCAATGTATATACAAAAGAGATTGAGGAGCTTACGAAATCTCTGGAAAATGCTTACATTTCGGATGGATGTACACCCGAACTAGCATCAAAATATGCAACCCAAACAGCGGTAAAGGCAATGACGAATAACTGCACCATTGATAAAGTCAAATTAATAATGGAAGCAGGACAGTTTAATACTTCGGATGAAGCAGTGTCAAAATTTGTAAATAGCTGTACGGAATCTACAGGCAGCACAAATACAATATTATTTACAAGAAACAGAGGATATCGCGGAAGTCGCGGATATTATCGTGGACGTGGTAATTCTCGCGTTTAGTAGTCTTCCACCAACTCGAAGAATTTTTATCTTTTTTTTTTTTGTAAGTTTTTGTAAGTTATTGCTTATGGTCTTACCACGTTCCAATAAATTAATCTCATGTGAATAGGTTACACATTGTATTTCAGCAATGATTTTCCAAAAGGTGATGTCTAATTCCTTTGATGATATGTGCATGATATCAGTTAGCTTTAATTGTTTGTCAGGGCATTCTTTGTTAAAAATTCGAAAAATATAAGTACATATACGTAAAATTCTATAGTAAGATGAATTATTGTGTATTATCTCTAAAAGTATTGAGTTCTCATTATCAATCTTTCTGCACTTTAATGTGAGTGTTTTGCGTAGTTCTATTGGATGTGCTTTAATGTCACCAATTTTACGTGACGGCCATTTATCTGTATGTAAATACAAAAATGCAGGTCCGCTGAACCATATTGTTTTAGGTAATTCTTCAGCATTACTACCGCGAGAAACAATGTCTGCAGGATTGTCTTTAGATGGTACGTGATGCCATTTGATGTTTTTGGTCATTTCTTGAATTTCTGATGTACGATTTGCTACAAAACAATTAAGAGAAGATGAATGCATTTGTAGCCACTGTAAAACCATCTTTCACTTTTTGGTTTCCAAACCATGCCTAATGCCTTCGTGATGGGATCTGCGCTAGATTTGATATTGAAACTTTCATCACTGCTCGACACTACTTTGTCGCAATTAGAACTCCATTTTGCGAGTTGTAATCCAGCCTTTGATAGTAAATTTGTAATTTCTATTTTTTTGTTTAGTAGTTCAGTAATAGTATTAGCGCCGGTGAGAAGATCATCAACATAGAGATCTGTTTTTAACGTAGAAGCACCAATTGGAAATTTATGAATATGCATGTCTGCAATGTGAAAGAGCGATCGAATAGCCAGAAACGGAGCGGATGATGTTCCATACGTCACTGTATTTAATTGAAAAATCTGTAATTCAGCGTGAGGATTATCTCGCCACAACACTAACTGAAACCATCTATCACGTTTGTCCATCAAAAATTGGCGGTACATTTTTGCAATGTCCGCTGTCAATGCATACTTATGTAATCGAAATGCCATGAGCGTAGTTATTAAATTTTGTTGAATAGTCGGTCCAACCATAAGTGTGTCGTTTAGAGAATACTTAGAGCAAGTCTTTGCTGAAGCATCAAACACGACTCGAAGCTTTGTTGTGAGACTTTGAGGCCTTAAAACGCAGTGGTGTGGTATGAAATAGTGTGGCTTCGAGAAATCTACTGCTTTTATATTAGACATATGCCCTAATGATACATATTCATTCATGAACTCTGAGTACATTTTGTATAGAACTTGATCTCGTTGCAACCTATGTTCCAGTGAAAGAAAACGTTGTTTAGCTAGATGAAATGATTTTCCTAAAACATCGGGGTTGACTTTAAAAGGTAATCTTACTTGAACTCGCCCATTTTCGCTGATTGTTACTGTTTTGATGTAGTGCTGTTCGCAATTTTTCTCCTCTGCGCTGAGTTGCGGGGAGCTTATTTTGTATTCTTCTAATTCCCAAAATCGTTCAAGAAATGTATCTTCATTGTGTGATTTTTGAGTAAAGTTGCATTCAAATGATTTAGAACATAAGTCTGTACTATGCGTGCCTCCTGCTACCCAACCGAAAACAGTGTTAATTAAATATGGCATGTCTTTGCCTAACGAAATTTTGCCCTCAAGTAATAAATCAAAGAAGATTTCTGCACCAATCAGCATGTCCACTTGACAAGGTCTATCGAATAATGGATCCGCTAATTGAATATTAGTAGGAATTTGAAATTTTGTTACATTAATGTAGGCTCTATGATTTACGGAGGAAATAGATTTCGTAATTGTAAACTGAGAAGACCATTCAAAATCGGACGTGCGAGAATGCGCAGTTGCATATACATTATAATTGAAAAGTGTTTTCAAATTGGAAATACCAAAGACTTCTTGAGTAGAGTATTGCCATTTTAAATGCAATATTTTGGCTGTTTCCTCTGTAATAAAGTTTAATTCGGAACAGGAATCTAAAAGTGCGCGCACTGGATGCTTAAGCCCAAACTTGTCCATCACAAATACCAAAACAGTAGGAATAATTGCTCTTTTTGAAGACTGAATTAATAATGATGTTACAGCGCTGTTAGGTTGTTGTAGCTGTCCTTGCTCTTGAATTGCGATACTTGGACAACTAATTGATGAATTAATCAAAGTATTTGTAAATTTGTGTAAATGAGTATGATGTGATGAACGACAAATTCTGCAACGTGATTCGGATTTACATTTTGTAACGGAGTGCCCTTTTGTCAAACAATTTATGCAGCAGCCTGCTTTCTTAACAAAGTCAAAGCGCTGAGAAACTGGCGTTGCTAAAAACGAAGGGCATTTTCCTAAAAAGTGGCCAGCTGCCTTGCAAAATTCACAACCAGATTTGACACTGAGATGCGTTTGTAATATTCTTCTTGGTACAGTATTAAAATTATTTCGTGATTTATTTTCGGAAGCGTTAATGGACGTAGCTCGTCCTTCAAGAAATTGACAACGCCGACTTAACATCTTATAACATTCGTCCCAAGAAGGCATTTTTTCAAATTCTTGCTTTTCGTCATGTGCAAATTTTGTTTCTGCATCAACTTTACTTAGGACTATATAAATTATAATAGCATTCATAACTTCTACTTCTGAGCCCAATGAAAGCAACGATGATCTTAATGCTGCAACAGTATCAATTAGTTTACGTAGAGAAGCCGGATCAGCTTTAATCATTCCTGGAATATTAAAGAGTTCAGTAATGTGGTCTAAGAATATTAATACCTTATTATCGAAACGTTCTTTCAATCGTGCCATAGCCTTTGGATAATTTTCTGCTGTAATTTGAAAGGCTTCGATGACTGCAAGTGCAGGGCCTGTAAGACATGATAATAAATAATTGAATTTATCGACATCAGATAAGGTTGGGTCATTGTGCACCAAATGCTTAAATGCTGCGATAAATCGATTGTAGTTGGCATATTTTCCGTCAAATTTTGGCAATTTTAAAAATGGTAAACGAGAATTGTGGGCAACACTGAAATTGGATGTTGTATTCATCACACTGTTTTCAAATGAAGTATTACTTCGAGTTTCTTTAAGCAAATTAAGTATTTTCGCCTTTGAAACAACAAATAGCTCTTCAAAATCAGCTCTGGCATTGTCTTCTGGATTTAATTGTTCGATTTGTGATTGAATATGGCATAATTGTTTGAAATGAGATTCTAGAATTTGTAGTCGACATTCCAGAATTGTTGGATCTACTTCGTCCTTCTCCTTCTCTATTTTAGATCGAATCGAGGTCATGTTCCTTTTCACTGTTGATCGCTGCTGCTTTAAATTATTTAAATTAATAGCAGAATTATTACTTGAATTGACTGCATTATTAGCCGTATTACCTGCATTATTGCTTGCATTGCTGGTTGGATTGTTATCATTATCGGTATTCATTTTATTGCTAGGACACGTGTCCTGTCACGGTCGCCAATGTTTAGTCTCGAATAGTAAAACAAACGAAATGTTTGAATTCAATTGTAAATTTAATTTTTTATTAAATTATTTTCACCAAATGTAAAATGTAAAATGTATGTAAAATGTATAATTGTTTTAAATTGGAAATTTAAATTTTATAATTTAAATACAATGAATTTAGAGTATATAATTTTTGTAATTTTAACAAATGTAATTTTAACAAATGTAAAATATGTAATTTATTAACAAAAAATTTGATCATTTACTTTTCACTAAAAAAGACATCCGTAGACTTCGCGCACAGTAAAAAATGTGTCAGCTGAAACGGGAACCAACTCTCAATTCTTCAACAACACAACAGTAAAACAAAGCGCAAAACGGTCGTTTTGCTCTCTGCAAGTGCAGCGAATTTACGAAATGAATAAAATCTACATACAGGGTGGAGCAGTCAAGTTAGATGTTTTGTTTTGCTCCAACAGTATTGTTACCCAACATTCCGGCCTCCTTGAAAGGACTTTCAATAGGTAAAATGGCTAGTTTGTGGATAGGTCTGCGAATGATGCCCTTTGAGGTACGTACGTCAACTACTCTGACATGCTCGTCCTTGCCTGGTATGACCTTCAGAACTCTTCCGAGTTGCCAATGTAGTGGAGGCACATTGTCTTCATGAATTAACACCATTGCATTGGGCATGATATTTGGTATTTCACAGGTCCATTTTGTGCGCATCTGTAGCTCATTTATGTATTTATGAGACCACCGCTTCCAAAATGATTGTTTCAAACCGATGATGAGGGACCACTTGTCGAGCATGTTAGTATTAGCAGATTCCGTCCGCTCCGGTAACGCCTTTAGAGAGCACCCAATCAAAAAATGGGCAGGAGTCAATGCTTCGTAGTCGCTAGGATCCGGCGAAAGTGGTGTCAATGGTCGAGAGTTGAGAATAGCTTCTATCTCGGTTGTTACTGTTGACAGCTCCTCAAATGTTAACTTAGTAGTCATCAAACTTCTATATAAGTGCCCTTTTGCGGATTTAACTACAGCCTCCCAAAGACCGCCAAAATGAGGTGCCCTGGGCGGAATAAAGTGAAAATTAATGAATTCAGACGCGCAGTACTGAATGATAGACGATTGGGTTATTTTATTAAACAAGAATGACTTTAGTTCTGTCAATTGATTCGAAGCCCCAACAATATTGGTTGCGTTATCGCAAAATATATCACTTGGTAAGCCTCTCCTGCCAATCATTCTTTTTAATGCTGCAATGAACGCGTCTGTTGACAAACTTTATACAACTTCGATGTGTACTGCTTTTGTTGCCATACAAATAAAAATGG